GCCGCGGCCACCGAAGGCGACGGCGAGGACTGCGGGGCCAAAGAGGACGCCGAGCGAGGCCACCTCTGCCCTTGCCTCCCGCCCTGCCGCCGCCGCCGCCGCCGCCACCGAGGCGACTGGCTGTACGAGTCCTACTACTGCATGAGCCAACAGCACCCGCTCCTCGTCTTCCTGCTGCTCATCGTCATCGGCGCCTGCCTGGCTTTACTCGCCGTCTTCTTCTTCGCCTCCGGGTTGGTAAGTGGGGTTTTCGCCGCTCCCCGCGTCCCTTCGAGCGCTCTGCGGTCGGGAAGAGGCGCCGGCCGCGGCTCCGATGTCAGAGAGGCCGGAGGGAGGCCGGCGACGGGTCCCGCCGAAGACTTCCGAGGGCGCTGGAAGTGCGCTCGGGGGATCCTGGGGGCTACGTCCGCACCCCGAGAACCGGTAGTGGAGCCGATCCCCGGCTCTGGATTCTCAGTCCTGCCGTCCTGGCAGGAAGAATAGGTCTCGGGACTTCGCTGGGTTTCCTGCTCGAGCGCCGAGCGGTGTCGTCCGGAGGAAGTTCTGGGGTATCGCTCAGGACTCTCTGCTTTCGCTCTCTCTCTCTCATAGCTGCCTCACCTGCACTAGGTTCGGGGCCATTGCTCTCGTTTTTTGGCCGGGTCCTGCCAACCTGCTGAAAATAGAGGGGTTTTGAGTATATGCGGTGCCCTCTTTGCTTAATCGCTAGGAATTTAAAGGCGCGCCTCGCTTTCTTTTCAACCGCGTTGAATGCCAGCTCGGAACTTTTGCTGTCCTTTGGTAATGCTCCGTTTGCCTCTACTGTACAAGCAAGCCTGCCGAGAACAAGTGGGAAGGCGCCGGCTGAGGCGTTTGGGTGCTGCTCCATGCTCGCAGAAAATGCTGACCATGACGGTGCCAGAACACCACGCTCCCAGGGGCCGCGGCCCAATAAAGATACACAATTTAATTGAGAGCGGAAGGGGGCGGGGAATAAAAATAAACATTACACAACTTATTATTAAAATATAGTACTATTGCCTATTTGGATTAAAAGTTAGAGAAATGGTTGTGATCACCTTTACTTTTTGTTTTTTGTGCCTACTGGTACTAGCTGTGCAGCCTTATTCTAGCCATATTTATTCGGAATTAAGTCACCTTTCAGGTTTTCCATTAGGATCGTAGACTTTGTTTTATCTCAGTCGGTTCACTCATTTTAATGGCTCTGCTCTGTAACTCTCACCTGTTAGACAGCTATCTGAACTTAACCCTGTGTTTCTTTACTCTGGAGCCTATTCTACCTCTTTCCCCCCACCACCACTTTTTTTTTCATTTATAGAGTGATAGATAATTTCATGCCTCGTTTCTGCATGGTGGATGCACCTAATTCCAGAGGCACTGCTCCTGTTTCCCCATGTGTGGTCTTTGGTAAGACAAGGAACCCCATAGCTTTCTTGTTTGGTGCTTTTAAAGCAGATTGGGAATTGCAGCTGTCTTTGGATCTGCAGGCAGAAAATTACTTTGTTGCAGTCTCTTGGGTGGCTTGTATACATACATGGTACAGTATAGGGGTAGGCAATTAACAGACTTCATCTCCGAGGGTTGCTCTGGGGCACTTTCACGCTCTTGGTTCTTTTAGTTAAGTATTCTATTAGTAGAATAAACACACAAATGCTCAAGTCATCAATATGGTTCCTCAGAGATTTTCCGTTGAATTCAAAGCTGAGTACAGTAAGTGTGTTTAGGCTTGCAGTCCACCTTTAATTCCTCTGATTCATTTTCTTGGTTTCCTTTCTGCTGACAGATTAACCTTATTGGCATCTGCAGTTCATGTGGCAAGGTTTCAAAGCTGAATTAGATTTCCAACACCTTCAAAACATTTTTATCCCAGGGCAGGAATTAAAGGAGCAGTCATTCCCTCTGTTCTCAGCAGTCATCATGGAACCCCCAAAGGCTTATCTAGTCCAGCCTGCTGTTCCCACTGTGGTATAAAGGATTGCCAGGGCAGCAGCAGCCCCACTCCCTAAGAGTTGGTCCAAACCCGGAGACCTGAGGCCAGACATTTGCACTGTCGGTAAGAGAGATCTTTGTGATGTCACAAGAGAACTCTTCAACATCAGTTGCAAAATAGACTCTGCATGACAGGCAGACAATGTAGAGTCTCCGTGATTTATTTAAACTTCAGCATGTGAATTCTATCAGCAATAACACTAGAGCAGAGGAAGGTGATCCCGAGAGGTCTAAGGCACTGGTTCTTAACCTTGGGTTACTCAGGAGTTTTGGACTGCAACTCCCAGAAGCCTTCACCACCAACTGTGCTGACTGGGGTTTCTGGGAGTTGCAGTTCAAAAGCATCTGAGTAACAAAGGTTAAGAACCACTGGTCTAAGGGACATTTATTTTTATTTTGCCTCATAACTCAAACATGCCACACTTGAAAAAGATGGTGAAAATCTGGTGCACAAGAATCAGTAGCATGGCTTCCTGGCCATTTTTTTCTCTTCATGTCAGTCATCATGTTGCCTTGCTCTAAGGCAGGCTAGTCTCAAAGGTAACGTTGTGGAAAGCAGAGGCAGAAAACAAACCTGGCCGGAGGAGCCCAGAATTGGGGGGAAAGGAATGCAGAGGTCTAGCAAATAGAACCCTACTGGAGATCCAAAGGAAAAGCCCGAGAGCAATCCAGAATAAAGCCAATGCAATTGTTTCAAAAAACCAATGGCGACTTCCATTTCTGTAGTGTGCTTAGACATGTCCTGGGCAAGAACTCTGTTGTGCAGCTGATCATTCATCTTGACATACAGTCAATGGTGAGAAAATTGCAAAAAAACAAAAAAAACCACTTCTACAATCTCCCTTACTAACATAGTGGTTTGTAGTAGCATTTTCTTTTTGCCATTCATTTATAATATTTGTTTGTTGAAGTGTTTAACATCCTAATCCCTGCTTTATTATAACTGCATGGTAGTGCAGCAATGCTATTGTGCAGCATATCACAATTCTACACATTCTACAACTCAATTATGAAAATTTCCCAAACTTTGAAACTAGACTTCACCCGCAGCCTGCCAGTATTTATGGCAATAAGCATTGAGAGAAATGGATAACAACTGAATGGGTTCACCAGTCATGGATGGAGAAGTGACTAGAAAACTAGGTAGTAAGCGAACAGAGCTCAGCATGATGGAGGTCTATTCTTGGGTGACCAGCTATGAACTGTTGAACAGGAACACTTCACAAGGCAATATTTTGTTGTAGATCCAGCCTGCCAGTATTTATGGCAATAAGCATTGAGAGAAATGGATAACAACTGAATGGGTTCACCAGTCATGGATGGAGAAGTGACTAGAAAACTAGGTAGTAAGCGAACAGAGCTCAGCATGATGGAGGTCTATTCTTGGGTGACCAGCTATGAACTGTTGAACAGGAACACTTCACAAGGCAATATTTTGTTGTAGATCCACTTGTTTTATACCTTCCTGTCTGTTTTGTATAATTAGAGACTCATTTATTGCTCAGGCCATCTGCTCCGTATACAAGACTGAATATAGTGCAAGCCTTTCATTTTCAGCAGAGGGGAAGTTGCTGGTGTTTCTTGAATTCTTCACTAGCTCAGTCCCCACGCTCGTTCTTCCTCAATTAAAATCAGTGGGAGGGTTTTTTTTTGGGGGGGAGGAGGGAGTTAGTAGCGGGATATCTATGAGCAGGAATACATCTCCAGGTCTATGGTACAGGAAGCTAAACTGTACGACCAAATGCAGCCTGTACACTCATCTAGAACTCTAGAATTTTCCTTTTTGGAGTTACCACTGTCACTTGTTGTCCTGTTCACAGTAAAAAAAAAACCTCTGCAAATTGCAATGTAATCTTACAGACTGAACAGGATTGCTGGGTTGCAATCCAGAAGATTGTGCTCATTCTCTGAACTGAGATATGAAGCAACAGATTTTCGTGTTCATTGTATTCTTGCAGCATCCCTTTCCACCCCCTTGAGGAAGGTTCTTTTGAATGGGACTTCAGCTCTGGGTGGGACTAAGGCCACAGGCCGGCCCAAAGCAAAGTGGCCAAGGTCAGATGGAGTTGTTAACCAATTTGGACATTTTCCAACCAATTAAAGAAAGCTCAGCAGAAGTCTGTGCTCAGAAATTCAGAACTAAATATGTGCACAGTGACATGTTTTGTTTTTTTAATTTTGGGTTCTTTAGGGGGTGCCTTTTTTGTTTTCACATTTTTCATGTGCTGATCCTTTCATTTTCATTAAAGTGAAAGTCTCTTTTGAGTTTACTTTTATGTTTTCTGGTACTCCAAAAGAATACTTAAAATCTAATAGCAAAAAAACAGAGAAATGGGAACAGAGACTCAATCTACTTCAAAGCAGGCAATAGTATATGAGTAAGAAAAATCACCATCAAATCTCTGCCAGCACTAGTTTATATGCATCATATTCATGATCATTGTGAGTCAATAGATAGGAAAGAGAAATCATCATCAGACTGTGCAATCACTATGTATTATTGTGCATAATCCTCTTCATCATCATCAGGCTGCGGTATAGATGCGAAAGTAAAATCATAATCAGATCTTTGTGGTCAATAGTTTGTGTTATCACATTAATTGTCAGCATATCACATACACACAGGGGGACACTAGCAAAATAAAACACACTCACACAGAGCCCCCTCTCCCAAAAAAACAAGCAACCAAGCAAATAAAGGCAAAAATATAATCTAAAACTGCTCCAAACCCAAAATTAGTTTCCCTGAAAATAAGACCTAACCTGAAAATAAGCCCTAGTATGATTTGTCAGGATGCTCATAATAATATGAGCCCTACCCCCAAAATATGCTCCAGTTAAGTGAAACCCCGCCCTCCGCCATAATGCAGCAATCAGAAGAAGATGACATGACTGTATTTGAATAAATGTAGGTGGTTGTACATGAGGAAAAAAAGCATCCCCTGAAAATAAGCCCTAATGCATTTTTTGGAGCAAAGATTTTTGGGGACATTTTCTTCCCTTTACTGCTTTATGGCTTCTCTTCTTTGAGTCCAGCAAACAGCAGCAGGCAAGTCAGGTAGCAGCAAGAATAATCCAAGAAAGGAAAGGACCAGTGAAGTCCAAAAAATAATCTCAAAGAGGCAGCAGCAAATATAATCCAAAGAAATAAGGAAGGTACCAGCAGCCCACACATCTCTCTGTGAGTTGCAAAACCCCCAGCAGATGCCGAAAACTGCTTAAGTATTGAACACTATACATTACATGGT